TGGGTGGGTTCATTGTAAACATGGACAAGGGTGAGTTCAATGTAAACAAGGACATGGGTGAGTTCACTGTAAACATGAACATGGATTGGTATATTGCAAACATAGACCTGGGTGCGTTCATTGTAATCATAGACATGGGTGGGTTCATTGTAAACATGGCCATGGATTGGTGTATTGTAAATATGGACATGGGTGGGTTTGTTGTAAATATGGACAATTGCATCTCTGGCATGTATACTACCCATCAAATGTTTAGACTCACTTAAAGCACTCACTATATGTTATGTATATATATATATGGTTACGTTGAAGATGAATTTGTCCACTAACTTGGGGGGACCAACTGCAAACCTTATGCAGATGAATTGCGCAAGGATCATGCATGAAAATGCTGAAAAGCATGTGGAAATATCGTGCATGTGAACTCGGAGCTGCGTTTTGGTGTGAAGTTTTGTTAAGAATTTACCAATTTTTACTGAGTTTCATCATTTATTGAACTCATGACAATCTTCTTTTCAAAGTTACGAATTTGTTTTACAACACATCAGTTCATGTGAAAACAGTACCTTTAAACAAAGTGGAATATTTTGCAAAATCTAGTTTAGATCAGTTGACTAAAGTAAGTGGCTATATTTACACTATAGTACTGTCTGAAATAGAAAAAAACTGTATTTTGTCATTTATCTCTACAATTTATGTAGTTGATATGTGAAAGTGTGAAATATCTGTTGAACTAAGTTCGGCCTAACTACAGTCTCAGTGGTAGAGAGATAGGAAACGGAGAAAAAGGACTTTACTGAGGGGAAATTAGTGCAGAAATGAGCAATGCGGTTTTTTCCATGGCTTTATGCAAATTAGTGTGCGACAATATTGTATTAAAAAGGACACTTTTTAAATGCCCTATTTTAAATTAGACGTAGATTCATTATAAACGATAGCTGACGTAAAAAATAATAACTTTTATGCCGAAACAATTAAGGATGTAGCTACCATGCAGACTCACTGACACTATAAAAAGAAACAGATAGGAGGAGTCGCCTCAAAAGCAAAACCTGGGGTCGGGCTTGGGGATAGAGATATCAGCTAAGATAAGATAATCCTTTAGGGCAATTATACTGGGGAGGTACATGGCACGTCATAACAATTTACAAATAATATCCAGTCCTGCCGATCTTCGGGTGGTCATGCCACCTATATACTACGATGCGTTTGTATGGTTTTCGGGTATCATACTCTCTTACATATCTCAACATAAACTTTATGAAAGAAAGACACGTAAGATGTTAATCAATAGATGAGACATAGTCAACATACATGAAAAAGCACAAAATATCTTTGAGATGACCCCTTGTGCCTGTAGGCAGCATGTGCATTTCATGCCAGGTGAGTCGACGGTCCGTCGTCATACCTGGCTGAGCGACCTAATTGCCATCAATAGTCTGATCTATTGTTTTCAGCAGCTATTCGTATTTTTTCTAAGTTTTGCCCGATTTTACGAGTAAACATGCTTTTCTGGATATCGTATTACGCATCCCACTGAACGCCCAGTTAGGCCGAAGTGGGTTATTTCAACATATGCTATTTGCAATTGTGTCAATTTTAGGGATACAGAGTAACAGCCTAAAAACAGTTTTTTTCTATTTCCGACAGTACTATAGTGAGTCTAAACTTTTGATGGGGAGTATAGTATATGGTTGTCACCTGTAAGTTTAGCATGTAAAGATAGCAAATATTTGTTTGAATAAGACAACTGACAAGTTCCCAGTATCGTTTCATGTATCATGTCATCAAATTACAGAGGGGGAGGTGGGGTAGCCTATTTTACTTAACAAAACAAAACAATACAATGGATAAATGTGAGCTTGAAACGTTGTCTGTGTTCTTCATAGGATCTTTTATCTTCCCTGTTACTCTAGTCAAAACTATTAGTGTAACAAGGATGATGCAGGCTGTTACTATCTATCATTCACTTAATGTTTTGTTGTTATTCTGGCACATGGTTTCATGACTAATGTTTTGAGCTATGATAGGTATCACTGGTCCCCAAGAACATACATGTATACCATACAGATATAACAATGGTGCAGCCTGCTGTTATCATTTCCCCAAAGATTTCTACATACAGTTTCCAGGACTACTGATTGGCTTGCTTACAATCAACACTGACAAACACAGCCATGAAATAAACATTGAAGCAACACCTGAGTGATTGCAAGTTTTGCCTGAAACAACAACTAATTGCTTCAGTGAACATACTAACCCCATATCTTGACTTATTTAGATATTTCTCAACATTGCACTAAGTGAATGTTCGGCAACAAACAAAACTAAGGTCCAGTGGGGTGTACAATGAATAATTAATTCTACTCCGTTTACCCCCAAGGATTGATGGTAATTGCCTCACCACTGTCTCCAATCAAAATTAAATTTGTAAAATTCCTTTGAGGTGCCAAGTAAACTTGAGGAATGCTACTCAAACTTTTCACAAAATGTTTCACTGCTTGTGCCATATCAATCTTGATCCATTTTATTGGTTTTTCTATCGACCTCATTAGCCTGCAAAGAGCGTTCATTGTAGCATTTAACTGTCACAATAAAGTATAGATTGTTATGGATCAAAATAATTGTTTGCTGTAGGAATTATACCATATGCTGAATAAAGTTTCACAACAAGGAAATGTTGATTTCATGGTGAAATGAACAAACACTGAACATTGATGCCCAACTGACAGATCGTGACACTCGTTTTGTTCAGGTGGTAATTTCATGATGACCTAGAGCTGTATGGTATATAAGCATGTCAATATCATGGTGATGTACAATATCCTGTGGAGTGGACTGTGGTATATGGTTGAGTAAATTATAAGTAAACAATGTTCAGTAGAAGTTCATAACCACTTATTACTAAGTCTATATTCAACTTAGGATAAAAGTTGTTTAACAAACGATCGTAGATTCAAATCGCTATTATTGGTTTATGTTACAAGGGGGTAAACGCAGTAGCTGGAACAGAGAAACAAATGCATGTGTGGTACGTGATGAGCGTTAACTTAGACCAACCCTACCTGTTCTCGGTGTTTTATTAAATGTGCATACCCCCTTGTAATACAAACCAATAATAAAGAGTTGAAACTATGATCGTTTGTTAAACAACTTTTATCCTAAATTGAATAAAATTCTGAGATTTAAATTTTCAATTGGCAAGGTAAAATTATAAGGATTCGCAAACTTAATTTCACTTTATTTGATTTACTTTTTTGTTTAAAGTGAAATTCATCTGTATGTTTCCACTGCAACAGACTATAAGATTGTATTGCCACCACACTGTGTACTGTCATTGTAACTACTTTGCAGCTAATCGTATGTATTTGTAAATCTAGATAAGGCCAGATCAATTTATTTATTGTTTTATGCATTTTTTTCCTCAGAAAACCTAAAGGCAGGAGGGAAAAAAATAAAAAATAAAAATCACCAGTCTAAGTAATATTCTTTTTAAATACTAAAAGTATTTAATTTTGGCAAATTATGAAGTTTATATGGGGCAAAAAACAATCAAAAAATTTTGTTTGTTTGTAAGTTTACATTTTTGCCCAATATAAAAATGAGGATTTTATTTTTTGAGCTGGGAAAATTAATTTTGATCTTTTTAAATTTTTTTCTTATTCTTGAAAAAATACAACGGGCAGATCCGTAAAACAAGAAATAAAATTGGTCTGGCCTATTTTCATAATAACATTGTTAATTGCATAAAATGTTTTTGTTATTTGTTGGTTTCACACTGAATTCTTTGGTTAGAGGATTTTAAGGTAACTCATGGATTCTATATAGGAATCAACACATAGCCAGGAGGAATATATTGGCTTTATTATTTTTGCTTCCAGGGATGGTGTTATGGTTGAATGACAGATATACATCACTGCCCAAGGATTATATTGACCAGTTAATGCACCCATGTGACTTGGCAATGAAATGTTGTTTATTTCACCAGGGACAGATCATATTAATAATTCACTGCAACACTAATTGGAAGCCTCTTGCATTTTGTATGCTTAGTACTGTATAATTAGTTGTTCAGTAGAGAGAAAACAAACATCTGAATATACAGAGAAAGCTGTCTGCCTCAAAACTAGTTATATCCACAACATGATTAAAGAAAAACATTTATGTTTTGGCTAGTATGTAATGGAATAATCCATGTCATTTATAATATATTTATAATTAATATTATTTACACCATAACCTATTTCCATCAACATAAAACTTCAAACACTCAATATCATAATGGATTAAGAGTTTCATTTGAATGTTTATTTATTCATATCTGTTAGTTTTTGTTGGCTGAATGTGGAATTAACCGAAAATATATACAGTAGCATCCTTTCTTCAGCTGATGGAACTACATCAAAGGAAAGTTTAAGTCATTTCATGTGTGTGAAATCAACCATGATTGAGCCATTAGCTTTGGGTATAATGTTGACTTCCCTTCGATTTTCTCTGTGTCCTCTCAAGCATCAACAGCCAAACTATACATAATATATGAGATGGGGACATTCTTAGCAACGTGTGAGCAAACACATGAAAATATTGTCATCAGCAAAATCTTAAGAGAACACATTTGCTGTCAATCAACTTGCAATTTCAACCATGAAAAGTTCACAAATCAAGAATAGGCGGGGCCAATAGCAACATGTCATAATAACCTGTTTAAATATGAGTGACTTAGTCAGCTTGGGGCATGTCAAGGAATACGCCAGCTATGACTTGTCTGCCTTGGAGTCCAGCATACACCAGGGCCACTATTCACGAAAAATCACTGATAATATCCATGATCAGTAACAGAGCAAGCTGTCACTCCAGTATAAACAGTCAAATGGTACATTCATGGAAAATCAATCAGATGTGTTTACTTTCTCTCAGCCTGCGCTCCAAGACGTGGCTACTCGCAAATACTCAGACCAGCTTGAGAGTGCTTCTTTTCTCCGCTGTTTCCTCTCAAACTCTTTATTTCCCAAGATCAGCAACTATCTATATCACTTTCACGTACTCGTCTCGCCATGCAATAGTCTATAATGACCACGTATTTTACGTATTCTCGGCTCACAGCAGCTATTTCACAACGACACGAATTTCAATACATGCACAACTGTGGCAGCAAGTGCGCGCGGACGTCAGAGAGAGATGCTCTTGGCTGAAGTAGGTTGCACTGCCGACACGCTAGGTCGTGTTTTACTATCTTTTTCCCATCGAACACATACCGTTTACAAAACAAATACCTAGTTTAGGATGATTTGGGATATAATTATAATGCAATGACGCTTGCTCCAAGTCATGAGCGCTGTGGTTTATATCGCTGTCTTGATGTAAGCTTGCATGAGATTTGACAAGTAGCGAGCGATTGACAGCGCGATAGCTGCACTGCACGTGAGGTGATGTTTGTCGAGTTTAGGGCTTTCTTTTCGTAGAAAGATGATAAATACACAGTAGAATCTGAAAATATTGCATCGAAGCATGCAAAGGAAAAACAAGCATAGTCCTTACCGTGTATTTTGCTCAATCTGACCTGGCGATAAAATCCACCGAGATATCTCATTTATGTTTGCCAGAAAGCGGAATCGATGTTGTAAAGCTGGCTCACGCGTTGAGCAATGTCGTAAAAGGCGCCATGAGCTGCATGTTGTTAACGTGCTGCGTGATATTGCATAACTTGACAAAATTCGACAAATATTAAACCATGCCATGTGTAAGTATCAGGTAATTGAAAACGTGCATTATCAACCCCAGAGAAGACCTGTAGTAAAGTAAAATATGTCTTCTCACAATATATGGACATATTATATTTATGTTTTCTTGAAATATTAGGAGATAAAAATGCAAGAAGAATTGATAATTAATAAGGATATTATTAAAAGCAAACTTAATCCAAGAAATATTATGGATTTGATATGAAGTAAAGCCTGAAGGTAAGTAATTAAAAATTAAACTTTTAACTTTCCTTCAAAAATGCTCAAAAATAAGTCAAAGGAAAATGTATCAATATTCATTCACAAATCACCAACATCGATCAAAATAAAGCCATCCGAATTATATTACCCTCTCCATAGACACTGTGTCATTACATTGAATGGACTTACACAAACTACATACCATTTGCTATTAAACATTAAGTGTATTTTCAAACGGATACCTTTCAGTTTTGATGTCCCCTTTCTGAAGAACTGCTCGGAGACAGACTGTCAGTGTCACGCAACTCTATCGCTGCCAATTTCCTCAGCAACAGAACTTAAAGGTGAGTTTATCGCAGAGCCAGTTCAGTTAAAGAGTGATTGCGCTAAGTTAATGATTTTATCTCCTCTTCTATAGTTCTTTGATGTGTAAGCGGCCAAGCTCTATATGACTCCGCTAGCACTAAAACATCCATAATTTGTTTAACATGTGAACGATACATACATTGATTTTAGTTAGATACATACATAACCAAATGAATAAATCGATCCGGTTTTGGGTGTCTCGTTACCAAACGAAAATATACCCGCTGAAATGCAACTAAATATAATGACCATTTTGTCCCATTCTCTTGAAGTTGTTGAAAAAAATGCTTGCGTTGGATTTCCCCGTAAGCTGTGCTTTTCGGCAGGGAGATGATGATTAAAGATATGTAACCCGTGGGGACTCAAAGTAAGAATACGGGTCCCCGGTCATGTCAGGTCATATGCTGTTTGTTTGTTTTTTTAACGCCGCACTGAGCAATATTCCAGCTATATGGCGGCGGTCTGTAAACAATCAAGTCTGGACCAGACAATCCAGTGATCAGCATTATGAGCCTCTATAAACGCAGTTGGGAACCGATGAAATGTGTCAACCAAGTCAGCAAGCCTGACCACCCGATCCCGTTAGTCGCCTCTTACGACAAACATGCATGGGTTACTGGGAAGATCAATTCTAACCCGGACCTTCACGGGTCTCGAGAGTGAGTGAGTGGAGGAGCCCCAGTATGACAGTATTCCAGTTATATCACGGCCTACAGGCTTCATGTGTGGGGAAATAGACGAGGATATGAAGTTTGTTTAAGTCATGACGCAGGTCCTCGAGGTTTACCAGTTTGGTGAAACTGCTGACCGACCCAGGAACATAGTCAGGGCAAACAACGGGTTCGAACCCAGGTAACAAGTTTGGGCTCGATCATGTGCCACACATGTATGAATGCGACAATTGACTGACCTTTCCATAATATGCCCAGTTGAACATGCTCAGTGATGGTGCTGAAAATAACTATGAAATAAGTACAATAGAATTAGTGTTAGTTTGAGCCTATTTGCTGGACTAACGCTTAGTCCCTGAATGTATATAATTTTGATAGTAACAAATGAACCCATTTAAATTGACAAGGAGTCACAGTGAGATGGGAGATTCTACCTAGGGGAATCTAGACTTGATTCATTTAGAGCTTTAGTATTGCAGGGAGGTCTAGGCAGTAGGGAAATAATGTGGTTCAGGGACTGTGAGACTGACTACCTATTTGCTTATGAATTAATTCAACAATTCTTTTACGATCGGCTTTTTTTCATTATAGTCCGGCAATGGTGGACGCTGACTGGGTTCTTGTCTACCCAACGTATAAGTTAAGTGCGCAAAGCTTGGTCACGCCAACAGTGGAACCAAATTGGGCTGGCATTAGCTACATGTGCACTAGGCAAGGTCAGCTAAAGTAGTCACAAGCCTGATATATGGCACTCTCTTATTGTTTATTACAAGGAATTAACCCACAGGAACTCACCCTGAACTTTTAACACTGGACTGAACCCATTCTGCTTATGTGTACGCTCTTGGAATAAAAACATAATGAACTCAAAACGAAACGACAGGCGGTTAATTTAACCTATTAATCACAATTACCCGTCCCTGTAATAATACACGACCAGAGCTAGCCATGGACACAGATCCTTTAACAACGACCAAAGCTCGCCATTCAAAAATAGCAAATTAACATAGTGTCGAGTCTATTTAAGAGCAGGACCGACCCAAGTGTCCAGTAGATAGGGTGTCTGTCCGGTGCGTGGAAAGTCGGTGTTCGATCCCTGGCCGCGTCATACCAAAAGACGTTAAAAGCTGTTTAAAACAATAACAACAACAACAAAACCCTTAAAAGTACAAGAACAAAAAAACACAAAAATAACCCCAAAAGCAAAAACACTTCCGGTGGTCAAATTAAAAGTATGAGCAAAACGTTTCTTCAAGTTCCAAATACGCTTTTGAGATACATAGGGTATTATATCAGTGACTGCATACTAAAATTTAGAAACGAGCACCTTGACCTATGTCTTGGGATTGACGTTACAACCGACAAATGGGCGGTGGGGAGGTTGGGCAGCCTTGTGAAGACCATTTCCGGTATCCCCCGCCATGATGTACCTGGAATATATCTAAAAGCGGCGTAAAACGACACTCATTTCAGAAAGACTATTTGTCTTAACCCCTAACGGTCCTGAGGAAATGGTATTTGTAATAGCTTTCTGTGAAATGCCGTTCTGTACTTTCCTAGAACAGCTTGCTATGCTTGAATGCAGGAGGATGGTAGAGTATAGGACTGAGCGGAGAAACCATCAACATCACGTTTTGTGCAGACCGTCTGGTATGTATTATGAAATTCTCACTCAACACCCATGATAAAAGACAACGCGGATGAATTCTGAACTGGTTACATTACATTGACACAGGCAACCTTCAAATATCTCTATGATGTTTAACCGACAGACGGAATCCGTTTTCTCCAGAAATGAAAAGTGAGCGCTAATAGTTTTACCGCCTATGTTGCACTTACGTTGCCTTATCTGAGTGAGTGAGTGAGTCAAGCACCAGGTATGACGGTAGGGAACACGGCGGGACTCGAACCAGGTATTTTCTCCATGTGTTATCTATTGTTGTATCAAGTTGTATACTACAACAAGGGGCTTGGAGAGCCTCGTTCTGTGAGGCGTCGTAATTCGGTGTGTGGAGTTGCTCGTGAGTTTTATCAAAGACTTGTCGGTCTCCCAGACAGGAGAGAACAGATATAAACAGCCCAACTCAAGTCTAAAATGACTGGGCAAATCGTGGTTTCCCCAGCTCTAGCTCCCAAAATTAAGAACTGTTCTGGGTTCCTTTTGGCCTCAGTTCTTGCTCCCAAAAATTAAGAACTGTTCTGGATTCCATTTGGCCAAAGTTCTTGCTCCCAAAAATTATGAACTGTTCTGGGTTCCTTTTGGCCTCAGTTCTAGCTCCCAAAAATTAAGAACTGTTCTGGATTCCATTTGGCCAAAGTTCTTGCTCCCAAAAATTAAGAACTGTTCTGAATTCCTTTTGGCCTCAGTTCCAGCTCCCAAAATTAAGAACTGTTCTGAATTCCTTTTGGCCTCAGCTCTAGCTCCCAAAATTAAGAACTGTCCTGGATTCCATTTGAATTGTATTAGTAGTTGTAGTATTTGTTGTAATATTTTTAGATTCGATAACTTTATTTGGACACGAGTCTCATCGAAGACCTGCTTCCGTGCTCTCCTTCCACCCAAAGATGAACTCAGAGTACTCGGGTTGAACCAAATTCACTCACTCACTCAAGGTTTCCATTCACCTTGTTATTAGGTATACCGGAACCATGTAGCTGTGATTCTGTTATATATGTTTACCCAACCAAACATCACCTGTGGATATTATGAAATATGAATGTGTTATCGAGTGTCCAGCTGTACGTCTTCGCACGAAAAAGTATTCGATAATGCCATTGCATTGACTACATTTCGGCTTCATTTCAAGTAAATATTATAAAAATACACAGTTAACCCAGAGTTCTCATAGTGTCATAACATCGGGGAGTGTGATATGAGACAATACTGCATTAGTACCGGTGTTATCAAATTAAATACCCAAGTGGAAAACCCGCAAACGTTAGGCGCCGTCATAGATTTCACACAGACAAAACGAACGCTCCAGTAGAAAGGTCAACCAACTGGTGTTTTCAGTAACCAAAGGAACTGGCCGAAAAGGAAGGAACATAATTAAGTCTACCGAGTTCAGAAAGAAATATACCGGATATTTGATGCCAAGTCTTATGTCAACAGAAGCGACAAGGTGACCTCAGCCTAATTGTGTCTGGGAAACGTGGTGACGAGGTGGATGTTGTTTTAGACACACGCTGAATGGCCTGGAACCCACTAGATGATACCAGAGTGCCGCTTCAGGGCTATTCGTTGGATGAGAGTATTTTCATTTCGATTTTTATTAATTTAAAAAACAAACAATGTTATTGAAACTTCATATCCATAGGTATGGAATATTAACCCATTTACACACAGTCGATTAGATCATTCCACACATAATTGACACAGATTACTTCACATTGAAACGTACGCTTTTTGCGTTAACAAAATAGAATCGTTTCAGGAAAAAGTCATCAAATCTTGCATCTGAAACATTTAAACAACGCTGTACATTTTAATCCACATTCTAGAGCATATAAGAGAAGATAAACTGCACATTTAAGCGCTGGATAAAATAAAACGTATTCGTCCCATTTAAGTAAAAGTACCGACGCTTTGGAATAATAAAATAAAAAATGAATAACGATTTTTGTTTGTGAACAAATTGAAACTGCTCCACTTGGCAGGATGAAAGAACGCTGGTTTTTCATTTTCAACGATTATCCCATTCCAACGGTGAGAAAAAAGATCTAAAACTTGAAGCCTTCAACTAATACGGGTAGTGGTGCATCCAGCCGTCACGCTGGTCCTGGGTTCGATTCTCTACATGGGTACAATGTGTGAAGCCCATTTCTGGTGTCCCCAGCCATGACATTGCAGGCATATTGCTTAAAGCGGCGTAAAGCCATGCTCATTCACTCACTCACTCATGAATAATGTCTTTTGAGGTTGTGCTGCTGACTATAACTATGAGGGAAGAAGCCAATGGTGCAGGGAGCCTGAGAGCCTTTTATCTTGATCTTCATCCGCTCTTTTACGTAAGTTTCTTGAAGGCAGGAATGTATCAATGGAGATACATTTACATCTGCAACCTCTGGTTTATAACAGTGATTGCCTCCATTTTTAAAAATAATTTAGAGCAATTTGTTTTGAACATCGATTAGTAATTTAAAATGACATTTGTTTTCCACTCAAGGGGAGAGAATGAGTTTCTCTCCATCTCATGAACTTACACAGACCATGGACTATTTATGTCAGCAATTTCCGTCTTACGAAAACGATTGTCTTGATTTTGAAAAATGAACTGCCTTTCAAGACTAAAATTGATTTTGACATTAGTTTTCTTCTCACGGGGACAGAATGAGTTTCTGTCCATCTCCTGCACATGCGCATGACCTGAAATTGTTCTTCCATTGTTTGATTGTTCACAACAATATCACACGCATCACGCCCAACAAGACCTAGATCCTACTATTTAAATCACAGTTCATTCACGCTAACCTGCCGTATATCCACGGTTACATTTTATAAAGAAAATAAAACAAATTTCCTAAAGAAATATGTTTGGCATAAACAAATGTCACAAGAAATCTCTTAATGATGCGAATTTGAACGTATACATTTCAAATGTACAGAAAATTATTACCGTGTTTTTTTTAAGTTTGTTTATCATTTCACAGAAAACACAACTCACAACGATAAACAAGTATAACGAAGTGTGGAAAAACTTCCCCTTTAAGCTGATAGTTTCACCACACCTCTGATGTAATAAACATGGAGATGCGAAGATGATGTTACATTGATCACAGCGATGTGTAGGTCTGTCTCGAGTGACAAGGGATGCACCCACACTGACGCGCAAAAGACAGTATAGAGCAGTATGGGGGCCGTGGGGTAGCCGCGTGGTTAAAGCGTTCGCTCGTCCCACCGAAGACCCGGTTCGATTCCCCACATGGGTACAGTATGTGAAGCCCATTTCTGGTGTCCCCCGCCGTCATATTGCTGGAATATTGCTAAAAGCCATACGCACTAGCCTAGTAGTTAAAGGGTTCCTCGTCATGCCGAAGACCCTGGTTCGATTCCCCACATGGGTACAATGCGTGAAGACCATTTCTAGTGTCACCCGCCGTGATATTGCTGGTATATTGCTAAAAGCGGTGTAAAAGCATATTCACTCGCTCATACAACACTGTGTGGTGCTCAAAGTGAAATAAACAGGGAATGGTTTATGCACGGTGATGGTAATGCACGGTGATGTATTTGACACGAGCTCCGTTTTAAGGCTGCGTTTTAGACCTTGCGTTTACGGAGTTACGGAGACTGTTTTCAACCTGGTAACAGTTTCAACGTGTTGCTAAAAATCCAGTTTTCAAGTGCAGGCCTTCTTATATCAGTATATATAGCATGCCTCTGAATCTCTCTCGCATCTTCTCAGTTTGTTCGCGCCTACGTTCCTCTTTGATCCGTTACAGAAATAAAACCCGCTTCGTTTCGTGATACGTGTTCGTTTTACGATCAGTGTGTACGTGTAGCACCATGACCATATTTCACGCAAGCCTTAGTCGTTAAGTACGAGACAACAACTTAAGTGCAACGCGCATGATAAATACGCGGTATCGTCGAAACACACACGAACATCTTGTAAGATGAGAGTCTTTGAAATTAGGCAGAAAAAACAATAAGTGTGTCTTTTTGCAGCTCAGCACGTTGGATACAAGCTGCGTTTCTGTGAGAGACATTAGAGAGCGTTTGTCTGGCGATGCCAAGCGTTTGCCAGACAGAATATGTTCCGTGCATGATCTGGGTATGGAACTGGAGAATATAATAGCTATGGCCATGTTCAAACCAAACAAGAAGATGTTTGCAGTTGCAGTCATATCACTTCAAAACTAACACATTGTT